AGCCGGGTCACATTACTTATTGCATACGGAAAGGGGGTAAACGAATAAATAACAGTGACGACACCTTCCTTCTTGAACTCTCATATATACCCTCCCCATTACCCTTCAACTGTGTTGTGCTGTTCGTCAGAAAAAAACCCAGACGAAAGCATGCAACTAGACTGACCGCTCCACCACTTCCTTGTTTCCAACGCGCACGTCTGATGCGGCCTAAGCCCCTACGTCTGCGTAGGATAGGATAGATATTGAGCTGAACCATTGAGCGGAGGCACCTCTACTCGACTGAATATCTGTTGATGGTCATTGCTGTAATGATGGCGGTTGACTTGTTCACTGAGCGAGGCAATTTGGTGTCAAACGTTTCGTCACACCTCGAAGTGAGATTATTAGTGAGCTGTGGGAGGAGGCGCAAATCATTTCGAATAACTTGGGTGATTCTGCGGCATGGTTTGGTAAGCGTTTCGCACCTGACAAGTGTTAAATGTCGCCACAAGACTGTGTGGGATCAAACCCTAGTCTCATCCTTGCAGGCGGAAAGATAGTTACATAAGTTTCAGCGGACTGGCTGGAGACGAGATCACTTCCCGTACGGTGAAGGCCAGGCACCGTTCGCGATGGCGCCGGTGCGATTTTACCTTGTCTATCACTGTGACTGAGACTCACACTACCTTATGGATCAGAAAAGAACCTTTAACGCGTAGCTGCCAAATTCATCCTCGCACAGGACAACTAAAACGACTGGACGTCAGATGATGGATTATATCACCGCTTCCAATGCCTGGTAAAACCTCCTCTCAGCTACAGGTTCGCCGGTGTCCGGGACTGTAGCATGTGGAACAAAGATACCCTTGGAACATGGATTGTGGCTGATAAACTGGAGTGACGGGCCCCGATGATCAGGTATTTCGGACGGACGAGAAGGATGGCCACAAAACACATGAGGCTTGTTCAAACCGTTCGTGGGTGGGAAATCGGGTGAGAATGCCTACCAAAAGTTGAGACGGAGCCCATCCATATTGTGCTGATAGTCTGTACAAACGTTAAACCAAGCACAAATCACTCGTCACTGCAGATTTGACGTCGTGTGCTCTCACAGAGAGGTCAGCCACTGCACGTTAACAGCAGTAGTATGGAAAGTGAGACTCTATATGACATTGTAATACAGCTTACTCATGGCGAAAAAATGCTCGAGCAGTGGAGGGGTTTGGAGAGAAACAGGTGTCGGGCTTCGGTTAAATGATCTAGCATATATGCACCACCCCATCGGTGTATGCACGCGGTTACCTCGCGGTACGTATGTCGTTCCAGAATAACTGAGTGGTACCAGTTTTCGTCTCATTGTCTTATGGATGCGCAAGTGATGTGACATCTTCATGAGAGTTGCCGGGTGCAGTACAAATAATTCCCCCCAACACTGTACTATACCAGTACAACCTTTGGGAGCACACCTCTGGCCTTTACACGACCAAATGCGGTCTGCAAAGTACCGGGGATATTGCAGAGTACGTTAGGACAGTGCGACCAATGTGGTCTTCCATTTCCAAACATAAGCCCGTCTGTCAAATCCACCGGATCCGATACACCGCTGCTGTTTTGGAATCGGAGACCGACCAAAAACGGATAGTCTTATCCTGCCGAGCAGTATGAATAATCGAAACGGACGAAGGCACGCAAAAAATGGTTAAACTGTAGCACCCTTTCTGTCTAAATGCCATACCACCAGAAGGAAGCACGAGAGCTGGGATACCGCCATGTTGCCCAAGCCTAGACAGGGGGGGGGCCGAGATGCAGAGGTCAAGTCCGAACCACGGACCATCCGGTCAGTAAATTCGCGCTCTAACCACTGAGCCATCTCGCACAGCTGGGTTCTAGATCCGGAGTCGACACCCACCGTGCATGTAATGGGGGTCAACTTCTTCAGTTGGGTTATGAACATCATCTGCTCCAAGTAAAGTGAGCACAAGCGCTCACAGTTACTTCGAGGCCACTAACTGCAACCCAGTCAATGACTCAACTGGACCTTATGGCCGTCAGTCATCAACGGAAAAACCCGATTAAAATCTACCACTTCCTTTATGGTATGAACCTCGACTCTGATCCTATCATTGTTTATCATTACCAATGATTGTCAATTCGATTCTCTTTAGGATTACGTACGTCGAAGCCGAGAAATTCAGTTTGTCGACATCAGTGGGCTTCAGTAGCTTAACACTACCACGTTTACCTGGCTGGATATTTACTGGAAACGCACGATCATGCTGCTGAAGAAAATTAGTGGACGAATGGAAGAGAATGAAAGAAACTATGAAGTGACCCGTCATCGGTCAGCCGAGATAGCTGTATCAGGCCGTTGGTATACACACGCTTCACTTGGCTGATATTGCCCCTGTGTTTCACGGAGCATAAAGAAGAAGCGTTAATTTCAAACGTTATGATAGTCGCTTGGTTATCCTAAGTCAACAGTACATGTGGCAAGATGGCTCAGTGACTGGAGCGCGAATTTACCGACCGGAATGTACGTGGTTCCCTGGCCTCTGTATCTCGACTTCTCCCGTCTAGGCTTACGCCACTTACAATCCAGGAAGACACTGTAAGTTGTGGAGAGGCTTACGAACCTTAGAAGTTGTATTAGTTCTGATTGTAACGAGACAGATGAGGTGAATGCACGGATCTGCAAGGCTCGGGTTGCATTTCCTAATTTGAGACATATATGGCATCAAAGGGGTGTACCCCTGAATTTCAAGGAATGTGTATCAAGCTACAATACGGGCTATTTTGTTGTATAGCTGTGGGACTTGGCCTGTTCGAGCAGCGGACCTGAAACGTCTTCAGGTGTTCGACAATCGTTGTCTCAGAACCATAGCTCGTGTGGGTTGGTGTCAGCGTATCCGTGACGAGGCAGTTAGAAAGCGAGTTTTCGGTTGTGCAACGGGTACTCCCATTGAAGAATGTGTCCAGCACCAGAAGCTGCGTTGGTTGGGACATGTGTCGTGTTTGCTTAACCATCGTTTGCCGAAGAGAGTGGTTTTTCATTCTCAACTCAGAGTGGCGGAAGCAGAGAGGTGACCAACCCTTGACCTGGCAGAGGGGCATGGAAGAAATCACGGAACGCTTGGGTGCTGTCGGTGCTATTCACCTTCATGACGGAGACCGCGTGATCCTCACTGCGCCTGGTTGGAAAGGCTGGAAGATATGACTGCCAACCTACGTCAATGGCGAACTTGTTGTCAGTTTTTATCCGGATTGCCTGAATGAGTGCTTGGAGGTATAGGCAGCTCGGGATGATTGTAGTAAGCTAGCAGTAAGTCCCTTCCCAGCCCGCCTTTATTCATTACTTCACAATAAGGTTGTACGGCAGCTAAGCATCGGCATTGAACACTGATGTCATGCTATCGATGATGATGATGATGATGTCTAGGCTTGGGTGACCTGAAAGTATTCCAACCCTCGTGTTTGCTTCGAGTGGTATGGCGGGGAGGCACCGAAAGGGTGTTAAAACTGAACGATTATGAGTAGGATAATTAACAGTGCATGGACAATAATGTTTAGAGTTGTAGAAAAGCAGAAAAAGTGGGCCATCCCAAATCTCGAATGCACAAAACAGATCAACGCGACTGCTAAATCGGTAAGGAAATCCGTTTCCCAGACATAAGAACCCGCCCACAAGTTAGTTGTGTCCTTAGGGTGACGTTTATGGTGATATCATCATCGTTCGCAGAAACCCGGTATATACAATGCGGCCCAAATATGGTGCAATATAAGGCAACAGTAACATATCCCGATATCCAAAGAATTCAGCGGTTAAGCCACGAAACTAGTGACCGAAAGGCCCGTGGCTTTTCTATTCCTCTTGTCTATGCTTGGACAGTCTGGTTGTATCATTCCTCGTGCTTCTCGCGAGATGCACGGCACCCATGCGCAGAAAGAATGCCACAACTGAGCTGTTATTGATCTCATCACTATCACTCATCACAGGGGCACGACATCAGTGTTCAACACTGATGCTTCGCTGCCGTACTACTAGTATTAATGTAAATTAATCGCCATTAATTTGCATCTCCTAATAGCTCGCCTGAGAAAAAATGTCACTTCTCTTCGACAGATCGGCGAAATCAAGTGTTTGCCTGAAGGATACTCTGAGAGGACAGCCAATCAGGCAACGATAAGAAGTTATTTTACTGCGAGTTCGAAAGGATCAAGGAGGATTCCGTCCTGGAAGGGATTGTGTGAATCACATATTCACACTGTTAATTGTTAGGAAAACAGCATACGTACAGGCACCCTACAATCTTGGTGTTCTTTGACTTCAAGAGTGCGTTCGAGTCTGATGACTGGTTGGTTCTTCTCAACATACTTGTGCAATACGATATGCCCCAGTCCGTGAATATGGCTCACTGCTTTTAATTATATACTTCGGGGTGTGGATGCAGCAGGGGGAGCCTACAAAAGCTTTCTTACAAACAATGGTGTGCGGCAGGCATGTCCACGTTCATTTCCGTCTAATTTCGTTATTGACAAACAATTGAGGACCTCCGAAACTCCTACCCTCAGATCTTTCCGAACGAGAACCTGTAGACCTGGAATATACGAATCAGATAACATTGCTGGGTGTATTGCCGAACGGCGGGGAAACATAAACACTTCTGGCACACGAACACAGGCACCTTTAGACACTTGAAAACCGATGCCTCAGAACCATTGATGACATCGGCTCCAGCCCATGAATTCGCAATGAGCAAATGAGTTTTGGGTGAGACACGGGATACCTACTTGAAGTTATCACCTGCTGAGACGGGCGCTATTCTCCGTGCTAAATTCAGAAAAGCGAGAACCTTCAAATGGACATAAGCTGACATGACAGAAGGGAATAAAGAATGTTGAGAAACGTTCGGGTGACGCACGGGGTCACCCTCCAGGACGGCGTGCGCGTGACCTTCCCCGTGCGTGTTTGTGGTGGGCTAGCTCAAGGTGCTTCTCTCCCTATTTCTTTTCACTCTCAGTTACAAGGCCTGTACGACAGTGAAGCACCGGCGCGCCATCACTGATAGTGATGTCATCAATGACGGTTCCATGACTTCGGAAGACAACAAGGGAGTACAAATTTGAACTGCCAATGCCAAGGAGTCCTTTGGTTACCGTTTCGACGAAAGTGACCATCTTGCTGAATAGTCCACCATATGGCATAGTGCGTACGACGCAGAAGTTTAGACAGATGAATGGACATGTTTAAGAAGCAACCAACAGAACCTGTAGAGATCAAACGGCTACCTAGTTCCAACTGAGCGTTTTCTGAATTTGAGCTGTCCTCCGCATTCATCAATTTGTTTTTCTGTATTCACTGCTGACCCATTGGCCTCGATGCCACCCGTATGCTCGCTCCGGTAGTCTACAATATACTCATTTGTGTTGCCCTCCAACGCTCTTGATCTTTACTGATGCGTTTTGGCTTCATTCGTTGGAAGGTGTGGTCTGGAACATAAATTGGTGAGCCCGGGTCGGAAAAAAGGACGCATGCGAATTCCAAAAACTTTCATGAATTCAATCTACGTTGTGCTCGTAAGTTGCCTGATGTTTGCGAAGTCTACAACGCTGTTTTAGATTTTTCACTTTCCTCGTCATACCTGGTTGTATGAAAGTTAAGCACCAGAATATTACACTACTGTATTTCAGCTAATAATAATAATAATAATAACCGTTAACCTGCATCACCCTTTCGGCGCGCGGCTGCCATGCCACCCAAAGCAGGCATGAGTTGCTGCCAGGTTGCCTTAGCCTAGACAGAAGCAGCCGAGATGTTGGGGCTAAGTTCAAGCCATAGACCTTGCAATCACTAGGTTCGCGCCTTAATAATCCACCCGAGGATGTATATCCCGACACCGGCCTGCAGAACGAATTCTCAAAAGTTGTTCCGATTGAAATAGGTATCCAACCTAGCCCAAAACATAGGAGTCCTAGCTCTTATGCAGTGCTTCAGCCGACCTCTTCCGTTGCAACATTAACATGAAGGCGGGTCGCCACCAGACACCTAATTCCGGACACCCAGCCTATCTGCAACGGTTCGATCGGTCGCATACCAAACAGTGGTTATCGTTGACGCCCGCTTTTCTTCAATCTCCCACCTCGCTACAAGATAACCCCAGGATATTCCAGTAGTCACCTCAGGCACAGATTGCATGTACCGCAATAAGAACTTGGCAGGGTGTTCTAGTAGACTGTTCAGACTGAACGCACGGCAACGCAGTCGAGGCAAGATGTAAACAATCACCGACTGCCACAGATTTGCTAAGTCGGCTAATTCGCGCAGATTTCTGGTATCAACCTATGAGCATGTTGTTTTCACCCATACTGTTAAAAAACAACCGCCTGTATGTTGTCCATGCCACCTACCACCGCAAACTGAGTTACTTTCATAGATTTACGGCATCAAAGCATCAGTTTTGAACACCGACTTTAAGCTTTCGATGATGATGAAATCATACGCTCAAGGCACGTCCGGCGCTATACTCCAAATCGGCCAAACAGTTCACATTGTACATGGCCTTCCTTTGGTACGCAGTGCTTTTTCACGCCAAGGTTTCGTACGCATTTGCATATGTGATCCGATTTTACACCCGCCCCTCAAGCATCGCTGCTGCCCAAACATTCGTTTCCGGTCGCCCACAACATACTGTTTCGTGTTACTCTCCAACCGGGTTCACTTTTACCTTCGCACTTGGAAATCATTCTTTAGGTGTGATGTGCCGACTTACAAACGTGCCTCCAGAGGACTTCGGTGGATCAGCGGCTAAACGTACACAGAGGACTGAGCCGCATCAGTCGGCTAGGAAAATGTGCTATAATCACGAGTGACTCATACAAAACTGCTAAAAAAACTCAACTGAGGGGCTGTCAAATTGCACGGAGCATGCTAAGAATGTGATCGTACTGGAATCAGAAAGAACATGATGTGACACTGGTTCTCAAGCTGGGAAACAAGCTTTATTCCAGAACGACTAGCAGTTCAAACCAAGATTATATCCACTTGGTTAGTGACGCACAACGGCCCGCTGCAGATAACAAAAGCACGTTACCATCGCCTGAAGTCCAATCTACCAAAATTTGCAATGGACTTTCCGGAAACCTGTATTTCTGGCAATATTGCGGAATATGTGAGCTTCGGACGCACAACTATGGTTACGGGCCTGTTCTAAAAGTCTGCAGTGCAGCAGCCAATCGCTGTGAAAAACTAACAACACATCCCATACTTGGGCAAGTAATTTAGTCTGCCATCACAATTCAGTGGGCGTTTCGGTAACAGCAATCCGGCACGTGGTCAAACACTTCAAGAGTTAGAATATAATTATGCAACGGTAACGCGAAAAGCTTCTTTATCTCTGAGGTCGATAAAAAACCCACTAGAAACCCGTTAACGTAACCCGAAAGAAAACGAAACCAATTTCGAAAAACCCACCCCTGAGGTAAAAATCGCCAGTTCAATGGGTTAAACTGATCCGGGAGAGACAGAGAAGTGTGGTGGCGAAGGAAGTGACTATGCAAGCCACCCATTGTCCAGATTGGTACATCGAAGGACACGGACATATTTATCTATGCTGAAACAGCAGTGCGAACTGTCGAATCTTCGCCAGGCTCCTCAAACCGAAATGTGTAGGAAAGCATGTAATCTGAATCGAGTCCATATGCCACCGCACAACACACCGCGCCTATTCCCGATGCTCAACCCAACTTCGAGACTAGTGGGAGTGGCGACAAACAAATGTAGATAATCCAGTCCTCGCTTGACGTGTGCAGTTTTCACCAGAAAAAAAACTTGTGTTCTGAGAATACTTTCCCAATAAAATGTAGTATTTAACCGTGTATTCCCTGGAGGCAAAAAACTATAGTCTATACTTCCTCTGCTAATTTTGTTCGAACCAGCCCCTTTTGACCATATTTAGCGTGCATTCTAATATGTGTGTCAGCACGGTGTGGGAAAGACCGGAAGGGATATTCTAGTGCACTAATTTCGGGGTGTACGGTTTCCTTTCGCAACATGATTAGGGAAGACGGCAAGCACAGTAAATCAAGGTGCGCAAAATGGCACCAAAACTATCTTTCAGTATATGTTGCTGCGCGGACAATACAGGGGGCGACTCCAAAACCCAGCAAAGCTGAAGAAATCGGGCGGAGCCAGTATATTGAGTGTATTTGTCAATGACAGCCAGTACGCGGGGCACCGGTGGCCCAATCCGGCTTAGTCTAAGAGCGTATGCAGTCCATCTATCAATAGCATTCCACCGTCTTGTCTACAATCATACCACCTAGTGCCTGTGAGCCGACGGCTAATCGGAGAGTTGTCAAGCGCTAGCGGAGATCCGCCGAAATAGTAAACACCATCGTATAATAATAATAATAATAATAATAATAATAATAATAATAATAATAATAATAATGTTTATTCCCAAATTGACTGCGGCAAAACAAATGGCGCGATCATGATTATACGGTCAGAATGAAGCTTGAATGGGAGATTTCAGAGGAGTGGGGATTGCGCGAAATGTGGAAAATATCCGACGAAATAATAATAGTTTACTTTCCCAAATCGCACGGAGCAGTCGGCTACAGATCCGACTATTTCGAAGATGCGGCCGGATGACATGAACTAAAACGGGAAAATTTTGCACGCCATGAGAGAAATTGAGCGGGGTGCATGCACGGACCACACCATATCCGGTGTTCAAACCCTAAATTCATTCAAACATTTCATCCGTAGTACAGGAGGACATAGCCTATTGCAGCATATCCACAACGAAATGAGCAAATCCAGACGAAACTGACTCAGAATGGCAACTGGATAATCTACAACTTGGGGGTGTATGCGTGCCCCCATACACAGTCACCACTTACTCCTGACTTTTCCACTCCGTACCTTTTCTTGTGGGGAGTTCGTGGGGAGAAGTGATGCGATGTGGAAACGCGAAATAAATACTCCCAGTCGAACCGATTACTGTGGATACGCCTATCCCATTTAGCGCGCATGATGTTTTCTCCCCGGTCCACAAGACATGACACGTAACCAAACACACCACCACCTCCTACCAGTACTACCTAGATCATGTTTGTCCCTCGTTGGGTACCGAACCCGTGTTGGTTGTTGCCCCCGAAGAATGCTGGGTCAGCCCATCCAACGACACATTACGCCAGCATGTTCGTGTGGACGCTTCTCGAAGGCGCTGAAACGTTGTTCTTTATTGTGCTCTCTGGAGGTGACGCTAACATTCTATCCTAACGTCTGAAGACTTTATTATTCATGGTTGCACGACATTTCCGGGCCAGCGTATACCGGTGATATGTAGCTCTCAGTGGTTTCAAGACCATAGTCTAAAATACTGCTGGGATCAGAGGAGCCAGAACGTGCTTCTAACTGGCTTTGTGAATCTTGCTTCGTTACAGAGCCCGGTTCGTTGTTTCCGTACTCTGGACGCCAGCTGAAAAAGTTTCCAGATCGAGGTTCTACATCTGTAATGACCTACGTGAACAAAGGGCTGATATTCAAACTAATGTCTCGTGCAGCATTTATTATTATTATCATTATTATTATTCCTCAAATACTGCGGAGACCTATGTCAATACCAGCAAGCATCTGCCTCGAAAGAGGAAAATTTTCGACAAGTCTCCGTCATGGAATTGGTTCGGTGTCGCTTTCTCGTATTTCAAATTATTCCAACCGAACATTTACAGTATCAGCAGACGGATGAAAGTTAGTACTCTGGTCTGACTGATTCGCAGTACAGAGTGAGCCGATTATGCAAGCGATTTTCTGCACGGACTGGTAGCATTTCCGTTTAGTAAACAGAGGGATTTTGCAAAAATACACTTTTTGCCGAATTGCCGAGTCAATATGAGGATTCGATGGGGGCAAGGAGTGTGAGAAGTTCATGGAAGCATCTCTTTTCATTTTTTGGTTCTCCTGTTTCACTTTTTATACGTGATACAGTTTGCACTCATGTTTGCCACTTGTAAGACCTCACGGTAATGCCGTTTTGAATTTAGATAACATGTGTATCCTTCCCCTGTGTGTACTATTGCCTTAATGATGCACCAAACACGCGATAGATCGAAATGCTCCA